CTAGTTAAGGGCGATGTCTGAGCGCACCCTGTTGAGTCGTTTTCGCAAATTTTCGTGTACTTGGCGATAGTAGACTTTAGATCGAATACTAATAGATCAAATTATTTATGAACAATTTCACGGGATTAAAACAGACAATTATCACCGTTTTCATCTTCCTCGTTTTCCACGTTATCACGCCCCTTCTTAAACTCCTCATGTGATCAAAACACCTGGGCACGACTAAGAGAATTATCATCCTGCATATTTACAATTTTAGCGTACGTTTCCAAAGCTGTTTTGTCCAATTTTACGCAAAATTTTATCGCTCTTTGGGGCCGTTCAAGTATTACGTATTGGGGCGGGGAGGTTGTTGATTTCCTTATTTTGGGTTGACATGGGGGGCAGGGGAGTCTGGATGATGATTACGTCATAGGTAGTATTTTTATTTTTTTACATTAATTGCAAAATCTTTACGTAAGCATGGGGTTAGGGTGTAAGAGCTTTGCTTACTTTTACTGACAAGGGGGATGGGGGGTGGGGTTAAATAATTGTAATAAATCTGCTTACGTAATGCTTGAACGATCCCTTTATTTCGTTTTTTCATTTTTGTGACGAGCACCAAGAACACACGTTTATTCAACAAGGCAGAGAAGGCTAACTAAACAAGCCAGATATATTGCAAATATATCAATAAAGAGAGGAAGGATGCCGGGAGAAGGGAAAAGCAATTTTAACGTCGTAGGGTTACCACCATCGCGGCAATATAATCAGTCTCATTACTTAATTGCCACAAATCGTAATATAAAACGAAAACAAAGTTGTATGATTTTTTTCTAGTGATTTCATATTTAAAATATATAGACATATAACTTGACTAGCAGACATACTTTCTATACCCACATAATTTTCAAATAAAATATATAGATGATGTGTAGAATGTATATAGATATAGACTATGTAAACAAAAATGCGTAATATTTGAAACTCCTTAGAATGTTTTAAATATGAGATTTTATTAACTATGAATTGTTATATTATGTATGATTTGGTATACCCAAAAATAATTTTGAATTGTGATACACAATATAAATGCGTGCAGGGTTGAATTTTAAAAAATTTCTAGAGTAAGTATGTAGTTTAGAGTAAAGATGCCTTACTCTTAAAGTTGCAACTCTTACTGTGAACTACAAACATTTTCTTATTACACATAAATATCTTGAGAACCTCTTATAAAATAGTTTTTATATATTTATTACCTATATCATGATGCATTATCTAGTAATCTAGTATCTAATAAACAATAATAACACTTACTCTTTGAAAGTGTCCCGCAACGCAAAAAGCTTAAGGCGAAGGACGGATACTTCTTCAGAATAAATAATTACAACCGCATAAGTACATTGAAGTGTACAGCTTTGTAAATATCAGAATAGAAATGTGTGAATCATGTAAATTTATGAATTTTTCTATTAGAAGCAGAGAAAGTAAATGCAATAGCAAAAAACATATATTACATTTTTCAGCTTTTTTGTGTTTCAAGATTTTCTAATAATTTTGGCTGCCTTAGAAAATAAAATTCTACGTTTTTACGTGGTATATAATTATGTATGACGATAGGTATCTCCTACATTATGGAAGAAAGACTGAACCGATTTTAATGTGCGTAGTTTATTTGTTTTGGCTATTATTTTAACTAGTAGTTGTCTAAGCAACTATTTCAACTCGTGGTGTGAAATATTTGAAATATATTGAAAAAAAGCAAAAAGTGAATTTTATCTAATTTCAGACGTCGTACCAATAATAAGGTGCAATACCAAATTATGGAATAATTTTTTTTTGAAGATGCATAAGAACATATATATCAATATCAAGATATATATATATATATATATATATATATATTTATATATATATATATTTAAATTTGAGTATGGAACGAAAATTTTTAGTAATTTGTATTAAGTAAAATGATCACATACGTTGCTTTTCTTTAGATTTTCGATTGGAGCCATGATTAATCGAATTAGTTTTAAATGAATTGTTCTTGATTCGAACAATTAGGAAATTATAATTGAAATGCATTTTATGTAATCTAATTTCGAATAGTTTTCTGTAAACTTGCACATGTCGTAAACTTTAATAAAATCTTCTTGTATCTTGAATGTATCTAAGCATTCTATTTACATTAGTAAATGGACACGTGGGCCCGCGCAAATATCTCCTAGGTAAAACCCGTGACATTTAATGACTGAATGGGCATCCGTTTTATGTCAAATATTTATTCAAAACAATATATACATTACAAAACATTATTATGTTTGATTACTACATTATACATATGGTTTTTTGATATCACTGAATAATTCGTCTTTCAAGAAAGTACAAATAATTTTTACTGTGTAGACTGAATATACACATAATTTACTATCATACGTGTTTTGTGTAATTCGCTCATATAATTTTCAATATAGCGTAGAAGGAAATAATATTATGGTGCCATTAAAATTTCTAACAAAAAATTTTCTTGACCAAGAGCTTTATTACTTTATTTATAATATAATTAATTTGTATAAAAAAGTTAATTGTAGATAAAAACTAACGCATATTTACCCTTTCACTATGAATGTCGTCCATGGACGACATGTTGTGTTTGCGTTTGCTTCAAGATTTATCACTATGTGTTAACCATTGAGAATTATAGCCTTTTATTGTAATTTCTATTTCATTAGAAGCGTAGTTTTTAAATTTTAACGCATTTTTATTGATAATGATAGAAATATCTTACAATATATCGTTGTGCCTGTCCTTTCAGTAGTGCAACTGAGCGGCACGTTGTTTCGTTTCAAAATTAATGTTGTGTATTTGTAATAATGTACAAATTCATTTGCAATACTGTACAAATACAGTATTTGTAATAAAGTACAAATACATTTGTAATACTGTACAAATACAGTATTTGTAATAATGTTTTTTATATTTAAGCACTGCGTCTTTTTATTATAAAAGTTATATGAATATACACTTCATCTTCCATCAGAAATGTTACTTGGTACCTGGGCTTAGTCAGGATTACAAAAACAGGTTAGCTGACAAACCTTATCTTACCTAGCTAGGAAGTTGTTAGATCAAGTTTAAAACAGACGAATTAATTAAATCTAACAATCTATTTTGAGTCTACTCATAGTAAAAACTAATTTCATTTGTTTCTTTTTTTGCACTGTAAATCTGATTCATTGGACCTTGTTTTTAGATTCTTCTATACTACTCTAAATTATAGGTACATTATTAACTATAGTTATTGTAGTTTATGTGAAAAATTTCAATTTATATGTGTTGATGTGATGTGATGAACAGACATTCAGACCGAAAATGAACACGTTGTTAATACATAACAACAGTAAGCGACAACAATGAGTAATTACAAGTAACAATAAGCTCATAGAACTTACATAACGCTCAATAAATAATTTATGTACAACGCTTAATGATGTCGTTTGTCAAAATCTTGGGTCGGATACCCTATGGTCATACCAGTAATTAAAAACAGTTTAAAATTCATTTTCAAAATTTGAGTCGGGTACCCTAATGGTCATACCAGTAATAAATAACAGTTTAAAATGAAACAATGATATAGAGATTATTACAATTAATTGGTAATATCTGCATGCGAAGCAATATTACAAATAGTTTAGGTTGGTTTTCCTGTGGATTAGTGGTTAGAGCTATAGAATTTCAGTTAAGTTTCAGGTTTGACACCCGCTTCGCACTGCCTGATATCAAGTAGTAGTGACATTAGTTTTAATTTAGAAATATAGTTAGCAATACGGTTCTAATTGTAAGTTAAAATAGCAATGCCCGGAATTTGTGCATCTCTATTACGGCTAACCGTTTATAGGAGCGAAATCCTGATTGTGGTTTTTAAATAAAAAGTGATATTTCTCGATAAACTGCGAATATTATGCAAAAACTGAAGCATTTCCTTTTTTGTTTTATTGTACTTAGCAAACTATACACACAGTACATTCAGCTATTTTACAGTCACTTCCTTTTAACTGAATAATAAAAAAATGAAGATTTTTTATCACTATAAGAGATTTTTTTTAAATTATCTTAGAATTATATCATAACATACTTGAATATCATTATGAAAATTATACTTACACTTATTTGTTAGAATAACACAATGTCAAGGGTATGGATGAATGAATGAATTAGTTTTGTTAGTCATGAAAATCAGCAATCTTTATTGCACCAAAATTTTAATAAATGAAATATTTTATTTTTTATCCAATAAACTCTACAATTAATTTTTTTAAATATAATATTTATGTACTGATTTATTTTAGGAGTAGTTTCGACGGTTTAAAAGATTGTGAATGTGGTAATCATTTTCGAGAATGTAGAATAACTTTCAAATCATTTTCAATTTGTTAAATCTGTTTCAATTTCAAACTATTTTTTTAAACAATTTTTCATCAAGGGATTGTTTTTAAGATTCGAAAGAAGGTTATACATTTGATAATTAAGATAGAAAAAATAAAATATTACTTACTTTATACTTAAATCTTTTCATGTCATACTAAAATTTATTTTTATGTAAATTTTCCAATATAGAGATTGTTTGCAGAAAGTTGTAAGGTTTTAAAGGGTTTAAAATTAATTTAATGTAAGGTAAATGTGTTAACCCTCAAGAAAACCCTTAAACTTGTTTTCTTACCCTTGTTGTCACCCTATCCGGGGCGACGGCGGAGTTCACATTGTTTTTACTTTTGAAGCAAAGAGCAAGATGAGCCTAGTTACAAAATTTTATGCAAATCAGATCACAGTAAAAAAAATCACACACTTTTACCTGTCAATTGATTGCACACTTTTTCTGTCAATTGATTGCACTAATGACGCTTATTAGCCTCTTTCGCACATCAAGACCCAGTTTGCTCGTCAGTAGCGTCCTCTTTTTATATGTATATATTTATATGTATTAGTATGTATATTATAATTATTATGATTTAACTTTTCAGTTAATTGTGTTATTTTGGATTCATTTCTCACATGCTGCGCAGCCGAAAGAGGTTGTTGTTGCCATCGACTCTCACGCCAAAACACAATATCATGAGGCTGATTTCGGAAACAGTAAGTGAAATATTTCAATTATATTAAAATAATTATATTTAAATTTGGGTTGCAACGAATATTATATTTGGCCAAATGACGAATAACTAAAATTCGACATGCTCCAGAGGCCGAATACTGAATATTCGGCAACTATTCGGTAGGTTTTTAATGCCTAAACTCCTTCGTAATTACTATTTGTAGTTTCTATTTTATAAAAGCGCTACATATTTATTCGTTTTATTCCCAGGCTTGCAACGACTATTCGGTTACTCTTTTCAAATTATTTTTTTCATAAACGTTTAATGCTTGAAAAATATTCACAAAAAGACAATAATTTAACAATTATCAAAATAAAAAATGATTGAACTACTAAAGTGACTATTTTTATTTTAATTATGATTTGTGGTAGGCGGGTGAAAATTTAAAGTTTCATATATTTTTCTATTCCGCAATATATAAAATTAAAATTAAGAAAATTGGCCCTTAAATTAAAAAAAAGGTTGTTCTATAATCTCGAGAAAATGTGATTTGAAATTCGGCGATTGACTGAAAACAGGATGAAAAATTATTTGATTACTAAAATGATTATCACGAGATAGGGCTTGCTGGCTTTTTAATTACGAATTATAAAAAATAAAATACAAATTGGTTCAACCACTGAAAAAAATCTTAAGGCGTACGCTCAAAGGGGAGGCCATTACCCTTAGGCGTATGAAAAATATATGATTGATTATTCTCAGTCATGTTGAACGTGATTGCAAAATTTTATAAAGATTGGTCAATCCGCTTCCGAGGAGTATTGCTACTAACATCATGACACGAGAATTTATATTGGCGTGCTAGGAGCTGGTTGTAACAGTTTTTTTTTAAACTAATATATCTTGAAATCCACTGATCATATTTCTACGAAATGAAGATGGATAGTTACCGTAACTATTTCTCTACAAAAACAAGCAAAAATAATTCTACAACTGTTGTTCATTATTTCACAATTAATCATTTTCTAGGGATAGTGTGGTTTTACAACTTGCCCCGTGTTTGGGGCTAGGTGTAACGTCTACCAAAGCAAGTAGTAACGGCAAAAAGACGACTATAATACTTCTGACAATTTATACTTACTATTAAGAAAATTAACTCGTTTTTTAGTAATTTTTTTCAAATGAAATATAAAATGTTTATATATAATTTTTTCAGAAATCAACTCAAACTATAATTAATACAAATGAAATATATAATGTCTGTTATAAAATATTTTTGTATCTCTCCGAGCCCACATCTTACAAACTATAAATCCACCCGATCATCTTCATTTGAATCTGTATATAATTCTAGTATGCTGCAACTAGACCAGCTGTGATTTTTTAACATTTAACAATTTATCAATCACAAAAATTGTTACATATTATCAACAATTGATAATTTTGAAGCACAATAAGATATATAAAATTTAAAATTAGTCCATAATAATAACGCAAACCCAAATTTTATGATAGATCAATTTTATATTACATGTCAAAAATAACGGACCTACGCAGTTCTGTTTATTGCGCCGGTCTGCGGGACAGTATATTTGACGAGACAAAAAATATTTTAATATTTTTTATGATCTTATTGAAAAACGCCTATTGCTAGTTACCCCCGTTACATATAGCCCGTTACTTCTATATATATATATATATATATATATATATATATATATATACATATATATACATATATATATATACATATATATATATATATATATATATATATATATATATCTGTTAATCCTTAGGCGCTTACGATTTCGGTTATGAGGTTGGACCAAATGGACAATTTCACCACGAAACTCGTGGACCCGATGGAGTTACTTATGGTTGCTATGGGTACATAGACCCAGAAGGATATTTAAGGGCCACTTCCTATGTCGCAGATTCTATGGGTTATCGTGTTGTAGAACCGAATACTGATATAGAAATATTTCCAGAAAACTCTAGCAGGTAAGGAACTAAATATGTTGTTGTTTATATATATATATATATATATATATATATATATATATATATATATATACACACACACATATATATATATATATATATATATATGTGTGTGTGTGTGTGTGTGTATATATAATTACTCATAATATTTCAGTGGAAAACAACTAGGAAACGTAAATGACAATTTGCCTAGGAAAGGGAGATTTACGGCATGGAAAGACCTCTATTTCCCGACCGGTTGTGGAATGTTCGCGGGTGGCATTAAGCTTGGACAGAAGGTGACTTTGCCGCTTCCTTCCTCGGTAGCAGGTCCAGAATCACACAAACTGGCTTCGGCTGGTTCAGGAAACGCTGTACAGTGTAAGTTTGTGCATTCTTCAAATAAATACATTTATATTTTTTACACCTTTTATGAAATATATCAGAATAAATGTATGAGCAAGATTATTTATATTTTTTGCAGCAACATCTAGTGATTTAGGAAAACCATCGAAACAAAAGCCAGTTACCTATGATAAAGGACAATACAAACCAGATTCATGTAAGATTTGTTGTTGTATAATCGCAAACTTTTGTTTATTTCATTTTTATAATAGTATGCAATATGTTTCAAAATATTTTAATATATACATAATATAAATTAATGTAATTTTTAGCTAAAGCGTCTGAAATTGGAAAATACAAAGCAGATAAAAATAAACCGGATCAAAGTGGACAATACAGACCCAGTGCAGAGAGATTGGGCGGTAGTGGAGCCCCTCAACAATATGGTAAATTAGGAACTACAGGTGGTCTTGGCGGGCAAAATGGTTTAGGTGCTTTAGGACTATCTGGTCCAGGAAATTCACCTAGAACTGACTTTAGTAGACCAGGAATCTTTGGTAGTGCAAGTAATTTAAGTGGACCGAAAGGCGTGAAAGGACAAGATGCTTCAGGTGAGAATATATAACTTTTTCAATTATTATTTACTCATTATGTATTTGGCTAGGAAAAATATAAAACGCGCTTTTCTTGTTTAAAATAATATGATTACTAGTAGAACGATCAGAAATGCATATTATGAGATGACGATACACCCATTTCCTTCGAAACCTAAATTTGGTGTTACAGAATCATCTTTGAAAGATTTCGGAGATACCAAACTCTAATTATATAACATAATATATACATACACAAAAGCTAGCATATATATATATATATATATATATATATATATATATATAAATATATATTTTATATATATTTTTGCGCCATCTGTATAGTATTCGTGAACTCAAATACACATAATATATATATTAGTACATTCTTATGTATTAATTTATATAAAGACCAGCGTACCGGTTCGAATAATTTAATTTTAATACTTTGAAATATACTAAATACTATACATGCCAACAATATAATAATTTCAATATTTAGGTAGTAGCGGTAAATATAAACCAGATAAGTTTAGGTCGGATCAAAGTGGCCGATATAGACCTGATAACACTGGCCAATATGTTCATCAAGCTGGACCTGGTAATAAAATTATGTACATTACTAGATTACTAATTTGATCAATCTAATAAGAGTTTATTAAATTTTAGATGGACCTGAAGCTCAAAATTACATTCATCAAGGTGGTCCAGGTGAATATTTTATTTACACATTTATTAACAAAATTTATAGAATAAATACAAAAATATATATACTCATATTACTTTAAAGATGGCAGTTTAGGTGGATTTGGTGGATTGGGTGGTTCAGGTTTGGGCGGGCCAAAGGGCACACAAACTTTTGGCGACGCTAAAGGTCCAAAAGGCCCAGGTGGTCCACAAGGTCCAGGTGGTCCACAAGGTCCAGGTGGTCTACAAGGTCCAGGTGGTCCACAAGGTCCAGGTGGTCCACAAGGTCCAGGTGGTCCAAAAGGTCCAGGTGGTCTACAAGGTCCAGGTGGTCCACAAGGTCCAGGTGGTCCACAAGGTCCAGGTGGTCCACAAGGTCCAGGTGGTCCACAAGGTCCAGGTGGTCCACAAGGTCCTGGTGGTCCACAAGGTGGTCCACAAGGTCCAGGTGGTCTACAAGGTCCAGGTGGTCCACAAGGTCCGGGTGGTCCACAAAGTCCAGGTGGTCCACAAGGTCCAGGTGGTCCGAAAGGCCTTGGTGGTTCGAGTGCAACAGGAACGGGTCTGGGAATTCCGGGAGGCCAACAAGTTCCAG